AAATATTTACAAAAGATGGTCGGGTCAAATTGGGTTGGCCCGACTGTCCTAAATTGACTGGATTTTGACTAGATTTGACGGGATCATTTGTTAACAGATTCGAATGACCCACCTGGACTCGTTCTAGCTCCTTATCGACCCACAGGGTCAGTAGGAATACAAAAACTGTGTAACATATACATGCATATGTGTTTTTTATTAATACTTATTCAGATTAAATGTGGTTTTATTCCTTTCATTTATTTATCTTATTTATATTTATTCACTCTTGCTTCCCTCATTTATTTATTTTATTTATATATTTATTCATTCTTGCTTCCCCCTTGCCTTGCACGGGTAGCTGCTAGTTGAAAGAAAGAAGATTAGGTGTCGTTTATATATATACCTCAATAGATTCTCTAGGAAATTAGGTTAGAGTTGCAAATTGGCATTACTTCTCTATTTTTATATATTGGAGATCCTAGATGACTCTAAACAGAAGATCAAAAATTCCGCGTTCTCTATCTGCTTCTTCGAAGGGCATTCATGTCGGCATCAGTAAGCGAGGATATCTATGATAGAAAAGTTTCCAAGTACTGAATTTGTTGATTTATTGTTTGTAAAACCAAGAAACATGGACTTGAAACATAGTTCAGGTATGATCCAAATGAAGAAAACTAAATAAGTTCTATGGAGACCCATATCTGTTACTGACTCTGTAGTACGTCGTTTCCTGTAATGGAATGTTTTTCAAGGCTGATGATCCAAGTTTTTTTATAAAAAGTTTATATAGCAATTATGTTTGAAGTCATTGAGTGTTTATCCTTGGGGAAAAAGTTTAGGGCGTCAGTTGGACAGAACTATTATTTCCTCAGTTCAGTGCTTGACATAATTTTTTTTTTCAAGTGCAGTTGATGTTATATGGTGGAATATTTGGTTGTCTCTCGCCAATTCTGACTATTTCAGCATTCTTGAGTTACAAGTCACCGTTTGTGTATCCAAAAGATGAGGTGCTTAAATTAGTCTGTGTTGCTTTCTCACTTACTTTGTTTATAGAGATGCCAAATGTCATATAAATTATAAACATTGCAGAGGGAAAGTGTTGAACGAGCAAAATTAGCTCTGGTGGCTGATCAATCCATTAATGCAACCTTTGCACCTGATGACAGCCGACAGTCTGATCATCTTGTAATGATGATTGCTTACCAGAAATGGGATAAAATCTTAAGTGTGGTATGCTGTCTTGTACTCGATCAACCTGTTGTGTCACAATTCCAGAATGTTAGGTTTAGTTTGGATTTGAGTAATCACATTTTTTATAAAGTAATTGGGCTATTTTGGGACGTATCCTTGTTGATGGGAAATAGTACTGTATGAGATGTAAACTGTTTATTTTTAAACGATATTACTTGACGTTATTGCATGTGCTTTCTAGCGTTCAAATATTATGCTCAGTGATTACACAAGAATTATTCTGCATGTCTTCGTTAGAGATGTGACAACTTTTACTAGCATTTTTTTTATTTGACACCTTTAACATGGAGAAGCTGGAGTACTTGATATCGAGGTTGATTATGTTCGTAAGTGAACATGCGAGGGATGAATCATTTATTACACTAACCTGTGAATACAAATAGAAATAGTTGCATTGTTCTCCCTGAGGTTTACAGTTTACTTTTAAGTACCGACTACTCAAATTATCTTTTCCGGAAGTACTTGAACCGTTTCCTGTAGTTTTCTTCAAACTAAACTGGCATTAATTGCTTTGGAAATCGATTATGTAAAGCATAACATCCATGTGGAAAGATTATCCTCGCTCTGAAAGAGTTGATGTGCTTGCATTTGTGAGGGGTCTTGTGCCAGAAAGCTGAAATTATGAAATCATAGTTATGAACATAGGAAATCCGGGATGGTTTCTGAATTAGCTCAATAGTAATAGTATGACTAACTATTCTTTGTGTAGTTGCATTACTCTACAGTAACGAAATATAACTGCTTTGATGATCTTTTGTGGTTATACTATGTCTCTGCATTAGTTGAGGGATGGATAAAGTGCCAGTTTCTGATGTAAACAAATAATTCTGTTGTTGCAGCACGGAGTTACAGCTGCCCAAAAGTTTTGCAGTTCCCATTTCTTAAGTAGCTCTGTTATGTACATGATAAGGTATGATGCCTGCTCTTCTCTGTGTTTTATTGCATAAGTAGATGCTACCATGGTTCATACTAATATGTGGGAACATAAACTTCAGTTTCTGTATTGTGATTGTGTTATTCAATTTGCTTGTTTAGTTATACCTTTGACATACTTTTTACTTTCTTAATTAAAGTGCATCTTCTCATTAATAATAACTATGTTACCGTTGCCATGTTTTATTGATCATGCATGTGTGTTTATGCTAGGGACATGAGAATACAATTTGGTACATTGCTTGCTGACATTGGGCTGATAAATATTCCTAAGGTATATCTTCTCTAGTTCGACGTTATTGCATCCAATTGATATCTTTTCTGGTTACATTCTCTTTCATGAGTCAAAATCTATCAGCATTTGATGTGTCTCTAGTTGATACATCACACGTTGGAAAATAAAAATGAAACCTGGATGTTGTGGTAGGGGTCTGCAAAACTCTTTAACGAGGGGATGACTATTGATTGGTTACTGTTCTTTCTGCTCCACCAAAATTTACCAAAGAATTGTTAGCCAACTGATTGTATTCTGTCAAATAGTTATCCCATTTTATTATTATTATTACTATTATTAACAAAACTGTAAAGATCTTGTTAAGAACTGGGATGATTTCATTAAGAAGTGGAATTGTGATCAAAGTAAGAAGCAGATGCTTATTAAGTTTGAGATTCCTAGATAATCTATGTGTGATTATATATTTATAAATTATTGTGATATATATTTCATTAAGTTTCATTGTGTGTTGTACTTAGCTAAAATGTTACGTATTCTTTGCAAATTATCCTTAGCTCTCATGCTTCTTGTGCCTAATTTCATATCTGTATTTTACGCTTCATATTACACTTACATGTTACTTTCAGCACTTCTTGTCTGCTTTAGATGTTTGTCTGTACTAATTTAGATTTTTTTTAGCAGTTTGGGTGGAAAAAGAAAGAAAAGCTTGATAATTGGCTTTCAGATTCTTCACAACCATTCAATCAGTACTCGACTCATTCTGCAGTAGTGAAGGTAAGTATAGTGCAGTTTTTAGCATCTCATGGACTTGATATATCATAAAGATACAATTAACCCGCGATTAGACATTATCACTGATGTTGGTTGTTTCTGTTGTTTTCCTCTTTACATCTTTCCCTTTGATGTCTTGTAAAGCTTTTTGAGAGTGCAATATGATAATATCCATTTACAGTTGGGCCTGCATATCCTGACTTGAGTACAGTTTCCTTTAATTGCACTTAAATTTTATGATTATATATGAGCTGTAATGCAAATTTTATAATGGTGGAATCTTAAAAGTTTACGGTAACGTATCTCTTGTAACTACATGCCACATGAAGAGAACAATATCTACTGGAGAACTCTGTCTGCTTTACTGGTGGATTTGGAATTGACTGGTTTAACTAAAATGTAAAAAATACATCTTAATGGTTATCATTCATCAGCTGATAGCTGGGAAGAAGCAGATAATAAACGTACATTGGTCTGTACCCCCTTATTCACCTTCCTTGATTGATTGGGAAGGTTATTACTCTGTATATTTACTTATTCTCAAGCTACATGTGCAGGCAATACTTTGCGCTGGTCTGTATCCTAATGTTGCTACCATTGAAGGAGGTAGTAGTGGAGCTCGTCCAGTGTGGTCTGATGGTAAAAGAGAAGTTCACATACACCCCTCCTCTGTTAACAGCAGCCAGAAAACTTTTAAGTATCCATTTCTGGTCTTTCTTGAAAAGGTATGCTGGCATGTAAATGTCTATTATCTTGCGTGTCTGGGCCTGTTATTATGAAATTTGTTGACAAGAATGAAAAAGGATCCAAAAATGAATGTACCATTGAGTGTGCGCAACTTGGCACAAAAAACTAGGTCGGACGTTGGACTGGATATGTTTTATGGGTTTTTCCCCTTCCAGTCCTTTCTTGGTGGACACTTTTCATAGTAAATCTAGAAGTTATCTGAAAATGTATTTGCGGAGTTACTTCTGTATAATTCTGTGATGGTTTTTGGGTAAGCGGGTTTCACGTGTGCAGTGACCTTTTAGAACGTAATTTTCTTATAGGAACTCACAAGTAAGCATTCTTGATGTGATTAGGTTTATCATCTAGAGTTTTGTATGGGAGAAAACCGATACGCAGAGATAGAAGTCTCCTAGGGGATTGTGGTTGGTATTTGACCAGAATTGATGTTGAGATAAATTGACGGCACAAAAATAGGAGAAGGGAGAGAAAATAAATCCGAGAAGATAAAAGTAAATGATAAATGTTCATGTCAACCCATTTCTATCTATCAGTCAAAACGCTTATCCAACAACTTCAAAACCTGAAATGATTTATGTTTTAATAAAATTGCAGGTTGAGACAACTAAAGTGTTCATGCGAGACACAACTATTGTTTCTCCCTACTCTATTTTGTTGTTTGGTGGTTCAATAAATGTTCAGCACCAGGTATCTCTTTTCGACTAAGTGATATTATAAATCTTTTTTAGCATTTTATATATATATATATATATTTATATATATATATACCTTTCTCTTTGCTCTATTCAAGCATGATTATGAGTTTTTGAAATATTTCCGCTACTGATTTTGCAGACTGGATTAGTCATTGTAGATAATTGGCTGAAAATGGCAGCTCCAGCACAAACTGCTGTGTTGTTTAAAGAACTGCGGTTTACACTTCATTCTATTTTGAAGGAGCTCATTAGCAAGCCAAAGGTATCATGTTTTGATTCCCACTAGTATAACGATGTTACAACTTACAATTTAGATGAATAGCTTCAAGGAATCAAGACTTTTTGTTTAGTTGTATTTCATGCACACTTGATTGTTGTTACAGTACTGTTCGACAGCTGGGTGAATCATACTCTAGATTTCTAGCTGCTCATTCTAGCTCATTCTCTTGACCTGAAATTGATCCCGAATGTGTTTCTAACTTTCAATGGTAGAAAGAAAAGAAAAGAAAAAAAAAAGGGCCTGAAAGGCAAATTATTATAAATGGACATTTCACCGCTCAACTACATGCATGTAGCACCGTTAACTTGCACTTTTACAAATCTTCACTTGCCCCTATCAGACTTAAAGAAATTTGTAACTTTTCAGGATTCCTCGTGGACAGTTTAAATTAATCGCACATAGCAGCTACTATTTATCACAATACGTGAATTTTGAAAGAGCTGAATTTTATATACTCATAATACTATCTAATAACTACTTTTATTTATTAAGTTAATTTCATCTCAAACTATCATAGACTGGTTTCTCGATGGTAACTAACCATCATAAGGCTAGCGAAACTATGGTCTGGAAAATAAAGAAATGGTGTCAAAGAGTGGTCAGTTAGAGAATAATATTATAAAGTTTTGATCCCTGCCCACGGTGGGCAGTGCCCACCACTTTATTTTACATGAAAAACGTATTCTGAGAATACGTTTTTCAATTAATTTAAAATACGTTTTTCATGTAAAATAAAGTGGTGGGCACTGCCCACCGTGGACAGGTGAGCGGGACTATAATATTATAACCCAACAGTTTCCATTAGCTTGTAGGTTTGAGGCATTATCCATCATGCATGTTGATTTCATATTGACAATGTGTTCTCAGTGTCAAATTTTCTTAGCCAAACTTCGATTTCTGCATCATGACATTCAAGTATATTATTTTTTAAGAGAAAAATAAATTGATCACACGATACCCAAATATGGAAATGCTGTTTAATGACCAGAATTTTCACACATAATGTTTAATTTTCTTGCAGAACTCTGCTGTGCTAGATAATGAAGTCATCAGATCTATAATTCACTTGTTTCTGGAGGAAGATAAACCCAACCACTGACATGTTAATCTGCGGTTTGTGTTTACGAGCTGGATTGGACATAACATGCTAGCAGGTGTATATTTAGCTAATTTCTTATGGCTTGTGTCCATTTGAAGCTGTCAAAAAAACGGATTGATTTGTGTTTGGTCTTTGTCTGCTGCAGGTCCCGGCACAGACCACTTCAGTTTATAACTTGGAAGGTTTGGGTATTTTTATTTTGGGTGCATACGCAGTCGTACGTGAAAAACTTTCCAGCATCCAACACGGAGGCCTTGAGCTTCAAATTAATTTTTCCTATAATGTTTCAAGTATTATTATGCCCAGCATCCAATATGGAGGCCTTGAGCTTCAAATTATTTTTCCTATAATGTATCAGGTATTATTATGCCATGAATAGTATTCGATTAACGTGCACAGATGCAAATAAAATTTCATAAGTTATATGTTTTTTGTATAATATTTATGCTCATAAGGTAGATAACGAGCATAAAACATTTTATAAATTTCATTAGTAGTGGATGATATAAATATAAACTATTCAATTAACATATGAATCTTATATTGATTGCAATAATGTGATTTTTGAAAAAATATTAAATTTATTTTTATAGCGCTGTATACGGAATTTAAGGAGTTTGTTTATCCAGAAAATGTAATTAACTAATTTTAGGAAAAAAATTGCCAAAGGAGCTGTAAAAAGTATAATAATAATTTGAAATAAAAAGTATAGTTGCAAATAACATTTAGTGGGACTGCATGTTTATATGTTTAGTTAGTAGTAGTTATTATTTAATAAAATAAATTTTAATATAATTATTCGATTAATGCAAAATGTAAATGGTTGTTTGTTTTTCAATATTAGCTGAAAATTGAGTGGAAAAAATTTGTTTTTGCGTTAAATTATTTGCGTACAATTATATATATATATATATATATATATATATATATATGTGTGTGTGTGTGTGTGTGTATGTGTGTGTTGGTGTTTGTGTTTGTGTGTGTGTAGATGTAGGAGGCATTAAATATTATTACTTTTACTTCTATTTGAGTCTTTAATAAATGAATGCATTTTTTTTTTTAATTAAACATGTTCTTAAGCAATTCTAAAGCTATAAGTTGCATTTTATATGAATGATTTATTTATCTATTTATGTTAGCCAAAAATATTGCAAGATTAATTTGTAATCATTTTATATAAAAATATAAAAAAGAGTGTTACTATTCAATGCCCCCTCTACTACCCTCCCTGAGGTCAGTTTGTCCTTGACATTTTTTCAAAAAACTCAGACAAATCGTAACTTCTCTGAAACCAGGCGATTTGTAGCGAGAAATTGTCCGACAATGAGGTACCTTTTTCTGTAAATCGGCCGACGAAACTGGTAGGAACGCCGTCGGCCAACCGTTGATTGCGGCTGCGCTCGGTCGCGGCCGGCCGACTAGGTAGGTAGTAATAGGGGGACAGTGAAATTTGTTTTAAACTTTTAAAATTATGCCAAGGGAAAAATCATCCAGAGAGCGCGATAGGTAGTAATAGGGAGCAATGAATAGCAATTCACTTTTATTATTGCTTCTTGTACTGAGGAGCATGGTTATTCAACTTGGACCGACTCAACGGATGGGTTCGAGACCCGGTTGACCTGGAGTTTAGACCGAATGGGGTAACAACCGACCAGTCAGTTCGAGCATCGATCAGATCGGGTCAAAGTTCACTATATTTTTATTTTGTTTTTTAATTTTTTATTTTAAAAACAAGAACTATTATATATATTTATATGGTAAATATTTATTACAAGAAACAATATCATTATCATTTTGATGTACAAAATTTATATACAAACACTTTTTATATTATATTTATGTACAATTATATGATAAAATGAATTATATAAGATTAAAATATACTTTTCTTTTTGATTAAATACGCTATAGCATCTCAAATTGGAGTGTGCATTCGTCCATTCCATTGCTACGTGTCCCAAAAAATCTAATGTAACATGTAAAATTTCTAGACATCTAGAAAGACTTCTAGACATCTTCAATTTATATTATATTATTTATTTTATATATCTCTCCGCCAACTAATTATTTTCTTACACATGTTTATTTATTCTATAATTGACATTCGTCGTTGGAGACAAACTATTTTTATTGCTTTTTCTACAACGTAGATATCAAAATAGGTGATGCTCTTAACATGAACAACGCAAATTATTTTCGGCATACGTTGCCGTTAACTAAAATAACCAGTGAGGCAGTGAACATTAAAGAAAACAGAACAAAAGCAAATGCCACCACTCCACACTCGCACCACCGTCTGCCACCACCACCTCCGCCGCTGTTCTTACCGCCAACACCATATCCGCACCTTCATAAACGCTAGAATCAAATGGGTCCGAGACCGTCACCTCGACGCCGCCGTGGAGAAAGAGAAGAACCTCAAGCCGCTGCTCTCCCTAAAATACCTCATCCTCTCCCACCCGACCCAGACCCTACCCATCGCCACCATCTCCCCTTTAAAACCCGATCTCCACCTCCCAACCTCCGCCGCAAAATTCATCCAGAAATACCCCATGATTTTCAAAACCTTCCTCCCGCCCCAAACGAGGAGCGCCCTGCCCCACGTGAAGCTCACCCCTCGAGCCCTCGCCGTCAACCGCGAAGAAACCTCAGCTCTCGCCATCTCCCATTACCGAAAAAATGCTGCCCAGAGGCTTGCCAAGCTCCTCATGCTCGCAAGAGCTGGAAAGTTTCCCCTACATTTGATCGAAATGTTCAAATACGACCTAGGCCTGCCTCACGATTATCTGCAGACATTGACGCTCGAATTCCCGGACTACTTTCAGATTTGCGACACGGGTTTCAGTGATTCCAAAGGCGACGTCGTTTTTGGTTTGGAGCTGGTCTCATGGCCCTATGATCTGGCCGTGTCCGAAATGCAAAGGAGGCAAGCTGAGGATGGCAAAGCTGGAATGCAGATAAAGTATTCGATGAATTTCCCAAAAGGGTTTGATTTGGAGAAAAAGGTCTTAGAATGGGTGCACGAGTGGCAGAAACTGCCTTACATTTCCCCGTATGAAGATGCGTCCCATTTACTTCCAAGTGGCGATCTGGCGGAAAAATGGACGGTTGGATTAATCCACGAGGTCTTGAGCCTGTTCGTGTCGAAAAAGACTGAAAGGGACAATCTCTTTTGCTTGGCGGACTTTTTGGGGTTCGGACGGGTGAGGCTGAAAAAGGCATTGGTACATTTTCCCGGAATTTTTTATGTCTCGAATAAATTGAGTACGCAGACAGTCGTATTACGGGAGGCGTACAGCAAGAATTTGTTGATTGAAAAGCACCCGTTGATGGTTATCAGGGATAAGCACGTTAGTCTCATGAATTTGGTTTTGAGAAGGGGCAAGCCGATTGGAGTTGTATTTAGAGAGCGTAGAAAAGGTTCGGCTGGTTTTGTGGAGAGGGGGAAAAAGAAAGTTGATTATAATCGGTGGGTGAGAAGTGATAATGATGAGGATTAGAATTATGAGGCACTGGCGTTTCACATATGCGGCATTTGCGTGCTTCCTTATGTAAGCACGATAAAAAGTGGATTTTGGGTTGCTCGAAAAACTGATCGCAGATGTGTAAATATTTGATTTGAAGGTAACCAGAGGGAGTAGACTAAAACTGCAATCGTGCATTTCAGTAGTTGTTTTGACCTCCATGTTGTTTGAAGTTTTAGTTCGAGACCAAACTCTTGGTTTGTATTCGGTTTTGCTCATTTTCTTAAACACTGATAATAAAAAATGTTGAGATGGATTAATTCCTGGAGTCGGGCTGACTATGTCTTGATTTTTTCCCGTAGCTGTTTTAATGTTCTATTTCAGTTCTGTATTCGTATCTCGTGTTTTGTTTAAAGCGTGTATACGGTTTAGTTCATGTACTCTCCTGTTATTGTGTATCTGACTTATAAATCTATGGCAGATCATTCCAAATCTCTACTATCGTATATAGCCTTGTCTCTGTATCTCTTCTCTTTCAAGCCGTTGCGTGAGTCTTTTCTGCTTGTTCTATTTGATTTGGTTTCAAGCTGATTATCTTCTTCTTGTTGGTGTATGCTTGACCCATAGCCATGCAAATATCATCATTCGCTTACTTGAAGTTGATGCCACATAGGTACATGGATACTGATTTGTTTATGGAATTTTTTGGGTTTGTTTGGATCTTTTTGTTCGGTTTGGTTAATTTTGAAAAGAAGCTATAGTTAGTTGTTGGTGGGTATATTAAAATAATGTTTAAAAATAAAATGATTAAAATTAAATTGATGCAAAAGTAGGAGAGAGAATATGTGATGTGATGGTTATTTAAAATTATGTGAATAGAAGAAAGTGAATTAAGGTTGATGTGGTGTGTATGAATGATTGATTGGTATTATTTAATTATATTGATAATATTGATGATAGTGGCGTTGAGTTAAAGTTGAGTTAAAAAAAATTATCGAGTTAAAATGTTTTTTTTTTTTTTTTGAAAATTCTTATAAACAAATGTGTTCTGTGTTCGCTTTAATTCCTACGATTGTTTTGCTAATATTAGGTCATTCCGAACTGAAAAGCCCATTCTAAATCTCATTTTGCAGTAACTATCACATCAAACAACAATTCTTCTTCAACGGAAAAACTCATTCTCAAATTTAAAAGAATATTGTTAGAAACATTGTTTTTCACATAGGAATGTCTTACAACTATTTTTAAGATGGTTGGATTGAAATTATCATTTAGACACACTCCACATAACCTATACTATAGTTTTTTAAAGGGTAAAATACGTGGCGCCCATCTGTGTTTAAAAGTAATTGTTGCACGGTTTTCCCATTTCGTCCAACTTAACGGTGCGTGTAAGGCACCTTCTTCAGCTATGAGAATTGTTCAATTTTTTTATTTTGCAGAATTATTAATTTAGGTTTATACCCTCCTGAATTTTATTGCAAAAGTAAAAATTATATTAAGTGTGGGTCTCAAGCATAGAAGACGACCACCACAACCACTGGACTACATTAATGGTTGTCTAAACTATTGAACATAAATATATTTACAATATGATACATAAATGAATTAAAAAAAATAAAGATAGAGTAAATCAAATAAAATGAAGTGTAACAGTTATATTTAATATGAATTAAATAATTAATAATAATAATAAATTACAATAATTAAATTACTATAAAAATAATCAAAAAATTAAATTAAAATAGTAAGATAAAATTTGATATAGTAGCATGATTAGAATTGAATAAATTTATATTTATAATTATTAAAATAAATTAATTATATAACTTTTAAACGAAATATGGTGGTTGCATTCCTCTCCATGCTCACATGAGGTCTCATTTTTTAGACCTAGGGGCTGCAGTTTTTTGGTTAATCAATTTCTCACTATATATTCAATATATCGTGATAAATTCAATTTATCAGGAATATATCTATAATATTCAGAGGGTATAATGGAAATTTTGTGGAAAAATTGATGTCGTTAACGGGGAAACATTAAAAGGGGGCGTGTGCACCGATTACTTAAATATAAGGAGTTATTGTTGAATTTTTAAAGCACAGTGGGGAAACACATACATTAAGCAAAACACATGAGGGTTCGGTGCAATTTACCCATTTTTTAAATATTATTATTCGTCTATATAAGTATATATATATATATATTATAGATTTTAATGTTATAGACATTGATATTCATAACACAAACTTTCAAGTGAGAATATTGCTCAATGAAAGAAATTAGAACAAATCTTAGCTATAACATTAGATAAACCAACAACTAAAAAAGTACCTCATATTTTAAATACATTAAGGGTAGTGTGGTAATTGTTTCTAACCAACCAACCCGTGGGCCCCACTTGATACCAATTTACCTTATTAATTATCAAACCAACAACTAACCAGCGGGACCCACACACATACACACATGGTGCCTTTCCCGCCCGACCATCTCTGGCTCCACCACCAACGCGTTGTCAGAAGCTCTCTCCCGCCGGCTTTTGACTTCTCATACGTCCATCGCAACCTTGCATGGTCACGACTCTCACGAGGGCTTTTATACACGGTTACAAGAGGAAAGAACAAAAATTGAAGAAGATTCAATTGAATAAAAGCCTTACTCATTGTCTTAAACAAGATGGGAAATTACAAGCTTTTTTTTCTAAAAAAAGAAAGAAAGAAAGAAAGAAAGAAAGAAAGAAAGAAAGAAAACTCCTTCCTTGCATGCATGGAGGTCATATAAGTCATGCTTTTAAAGAAGGGCCGGCTCGATTCCGGATTAGTCGGTTCCCCCGTGGATCCGGAAACCGGAAGATCCCTGTACCAAAAAAAAAGAAGGGCCGGGGTTACAAGGTGAGATGGAGTCTTTGAAAAATAGTGAAAACCACCTCGATCGGCTCTTAAGAGTAAATGGCCGAAAATTTTGTACTCAATCACCAAGGGAAAAACATTACAAAAAATTATTTGCACCAAGCTTACACTTCAACTCAAAAATGCTAAGAAAATCGGTTACAATATTTGTTTGCACAAGGAGAGAATTTCGCAAGCTAAAAGATTAATTAAGCTTGAACAAGATTTCAGCTACAAAACAATCGAACTCACAGGCTTTAGAATTTCGTATGAATTTCAATTGAAGAACTAAATAAAATCGAAATCACCATAAGTAGATGGGCACGTGTATTATATCAATTATTTAGCTTATTAGGTTAATAAGACGAGGACATCTCAAAATAATCTATAAGCTTACTAGAATAATTTATTCGAACGACAAAAACAAAGACACAAAGCCATGCCATACGCTAATAACATAAAGTCAACTCCTAATATCGAACGGGAATCTACAGTTTACTTATCCACTGGGATTAATTAATGGTCATAATAGTGAATTTATTTTTCATATATTTTATTTTGTCCATATGCATGCTAATTAATTTATTGTTTTATGTCATGTGATTAATTAAAGAATTACATAATTAAAAATCCTCTTTTATTTTGTTGTGTAGTCTAAACTAGTACAACGCCCGTGTATTACACGGGTGCTTGCTAATTTTTTCTTTAAAATCTAAATTAATGAGAAAAAATAGGTGAAAATTTAAATACTTTTATAAAAACATATATATATTATAATATTTTTAGTATGACACTTGTTTTGTGTGATTTACTTGTGTTATATTTTAATAATTTTTTTAACTTACAACATATAACTACATTAAACATAAATATATCAACTGAGTAATAATTATATTTTTCTAATAAACTTTAATAAATATTATTATTTTTTATTATTATAAAGACGAATATAATTTATTTATTTTATATATACAATATGGATGTCAAATCGAAGATCATGAAAAGACGATTAATTTGATTTATTATATATGTAAAACTATAAGAAATACAAAAGTTATCAACTTTTAAAATACATTTATAATTCAATAGCTAATTGAAGGAAACAAATCAAAAGTCAGGGATATTTTAGTCACTTAGTATCTCACTATGTAAAATTATAAGGAATTAAAGGGTTATATTAGTACAAGTGATATTAAAATACCTAAGTTAGCTAAATAATATTTATAGAATGTCCGAACCTAGATTATTAATTATTAATATATCAAGATTATTTGTCCAAACCTAATTACCAAGCATGATTTTTCGCCAAGTAGGATTCCGAAGCACCAGAAGCAGTCACGTAGGCTCAGCGCATTCGGGAATTATATATAGGGAGGATTTGGGTTTCAAATTTAAAAAATAAGTAAATATCCAAAACTTACAGGTCAAATCAACTTGGAAGTAAATGGATTAATTAATTATTTATAGTTTAACAAATTACTCAAGTACTTAAATTTTTTGATTCAATATATTATAAAAAAAAAATAAATTTATTTTATTTAATTACACAATTTAAGTTTGATACTTATACTTATTATTCACATAAATTATTAAATATATGATAAAATTTTACCAATAATTATTTTATTGAATCACATTGTAGCCAAATCGAAATTCTGAATAAATATTTTAAAATGACAATTATTTTGAAATGAATATAATGTGATTCATTATCATTTACGTGGTCCGTACGGATTATGTACTAATTTAAATAGACATGTTTTATGTAATTTTGCACAATTTAAGTTTCAGATAACATTTTCAATAAATTAATATAGGTAAATCGTATTGTATATTGATTATTCCATATTTAAAGTTTATAAATATTGTTTAATATATATTTTTAGTTTATAAATATTGATGAATATCTCTGACTCGTGCACTGTATTGAATTCGTACTAGTTAAGGATGATAGTTACATATAATTTCTAGCACTTAGAGTCTTAGACCATGAAGATGTAGCTTATGAGCGCAGTGCACTGAAGCCTGACTCTTCCAATTTGCCTTCCCCGTCGGGTCCACTAGACACCTTGACGGAGGCCCTCCCCTGGCTACACGACTCGGCCCCAGTTTGTGGTGGGGCCCAAATTTCCGAACGGTGCAGC